ACACACACACACACACACACACACAGTCAGACATGTGAAGTTCCCTCATGCACACAGGGAAGTAGATATACATACAAGACACACACACACATGAAGCCGCTACATGTTACTGAAACTAAACCAGATGTTACCTCTTATCTCTCATAACCTCTGAAAAGCAACATTAGCACCGAGGACAGCGGAGGAACAAAAATCATATGCAGCTCAAACACACACACACGCACACACACACACACACACACACACTTAGACACCACGCAGTCTTTGCTTTTGCCAAATCAAATGAAGCAGATATCGAGGGGGAAGTGTGCCTACGTGATGAACTGAGTGATAGAAGCCCAGATGGAGGCAGGAGAGGGAGAACACACTGGAGAACACACTGGAGAACACACTGGAGAACACACTGGAGAACAACTGCTTTCAATAGGGAAACTACGAGCAGCGCCGACTCTGCGAGGAGTTGTGAAATAAAAAAAGGAGCAGGCATTAATTCATGACACGGGGTTTGTTTTAAAACAAAATGTAGAAGGAGTAAAATAACTGAAAAGAATACACAAGTCAGCAAATTCAACACATTTGGGGTTTATTAGAGCCCGTTTGAAGTTCCTGGGCTATGAAATTATAATCCAAGTGCTTACACGGACGATGTAATCGCTGTTTTCTAAATTAGGCTCTGAGGCTTTGCAATAAACAGGAAAGACAGAGATAAAGGTTGATTTTAAAGGCGATAAGATACCCCCCCACACTTCTTACAGATTCTTTACTGCAGACCGTAGAACGCTGAAAAATGAAACACCCGTGCATGACCGAGTGACTCCAGAGAACATCAGAAGTGAGGTAATCCAGAACACATGCTCGGCACGCAAACAGTTAACTCTGGCTTCTGCCAACTCCTCCAAAAAAAGTGCAGCTTTTAAAAAATGAGCTCGACTTGTTTATTCAGAGCTCTGTGAAAAAAAAAAAAAGAGAGAATAGTAGAGCACCCCGAGGGACGTCGAACGGCGAAGACTCAAAAACCCAAGAGCCTCGGCTCGCCCACAACAGAAAAGAATGTTTCCTCATTTTCTTTTTGTGTTTAATTCTGTAACAAATTCCACTTGAAAATATAATTAGACAGTGCAGGGGGAAATGGCAAACTACTGCATTAGCTGTAATTGAACAAAAGAGCGCTTTGCCTGCTGGGAGGTGGCCCGCCGAGGCCCCATGGGAAAGGGGGCGGGGCCAGGGCTTGGTGGCATCTCCGCGGGGACGGTGGAGTTTATTTATAATCACAGGCCGCCTCTTGGACGGAACGGGCCCGGCTCTGATCTGACACTCAATTAATACACACACGGCTGAGATCACACAACACACACATGCTGGTACACACAGGGCACACAGCATGCATGCACACACACTAAAACACTTTAAAGCTTGTACACACACCTTTTATCTACCTTATGCAAACACACAGTGCCTCACACACCTTGACCACAAGACACACACACACACACACACACACCCTGTGCCAACAAGACAACGTGGAGGTCCAACTGCAAAAACATAGGGTGTGTAAGTGCACAAGATGGAGAGATGCACGAACAGAAAGATGGAGGAGAGCCGTCCGTCTGCACGCTTGATTTATTCTATGTCCCCTTAATGAGCCGCCATGGTCTCTCTCCCTCTCTCTCTTTCTCTCTCTCTCCCTCTCTCTCTCTCTCTCTCTCTCTCTCTCTCTCTCTCCCTCTCTCTCTCTCTTTCTTTCTCTCTCTCTCTCTCTCTCTCTCTCTCTCTCGCGGGATGAAGATTAGTTCAATGCCTAATTGTTTAGTAAATTCAATTTTCCACATTCTATTCTGCCTTAGCTTTAGCTAAAGTTCTTAAATCTGCCGCGCCAAAGCCAAGGGAACCCTTGCTCGTGAACCGCGCATACCTTTTTTTTCATTACCATTTTTTTTTTCTTCCTTCCACCTCCCTAATTCGCCATGAAAAGATTTTCCTTGCTGGAAATTCTGATTCCGCTATGATCGGTGATGCATTCCAATCCAATGCATTCTCATTGTGCAAGCGACTAAGATGCTTCCCTCTCTCGCTGTGCCAGGCCCCCACATCATACAAGCGCTCATGCAAGAAATGTTGCCTTGCCAATTCATTTACAATAATAAAGAAAATGGTTAAGGTTGTTGTGCTTTGCACCCCCCCCCCCCCTCCTCCTCCTCCTCTCCCCCCTTCCCTCACCCCTCTCTCCTCACTCTGAAATATCTTTTGTGATGATATGGATATTTACTTCTCACTCTGTGCCAGCGAGCGTGCAGGAATAATCGTATGTGCATACTTAGCAGCGCAGACACAAATATCCAAATA